TTGTTTGTATTGATGGTCTGTTGCATAGGTCTTGTGTCATCCAAGCAACCAGCAAAGTAGGTAAGTTTTTGCTGGTTGTTCCTACTGATTGTCGTAACATCATACTCTCTGTAGCTCACGAGAGCCCCCTAGCAGGACACTTTTCTCACAGGAAGACTTATATAAGATTGTTGATCAATTTTATTTGCCAGGTATGGGAGTGGATATTAGAGCTTTTTGTAGGAGTTGTGATCGGTGCCAGCGTATGTCTGCCAAGGGTAGAGTCCGTCCTGTTCCTCTTAAACCTTTACCCATCATTACAGAACCATTTTCTCGGGTAGCCATAGATTTGGTTGGACTGCTCTCACCCCCTTCCTCTGAGGGGCACAGGTATGGTCTCACTTTGATTGATTTTGCCACCGGGTTTCCTGAGGCCTTGCCCTTGAAGGAAATTGATTCTATTTCTTTGGCTGAAGCGTTGCTTGTGATCTTCTCTCGGGTAGGTATACCACGTGAAATTTTGTCAGATAGGGGGGCCCAGTTTACCTCTCAGTTGATGGCGGAGCTTCACAAGTTGCGAAGAGTTAAGCCTTTATTTACCACCCCCTTTCACCCTAGTGGTAATGGACGATTTGAGAGACTGTATGGGCCACTGAAAGCGTCGCTGCGGAAATTGTGCACCGACAAACCAAGGGAGTGGCACCGCTTTCTTGTCCCCACTCTATTTACGCTGAGAGAAATTCCTAGTGACCGGACCGGGTTCTCGGCGTTCGAGTTACTGTACAGCTGAGCCGTGAGAGGCCCGCTCTCGGTGTTAAGGGATCTGTGGGAGGACACAAGTATTGAAGACGACGAGCAGACTCACTACCAGTATGTCAATGAATTATGGGACAAACTTTCATAGTGTGCCAAGATCGCCGTTCAGAATGCTGACATTAGTAACACCAAATATAAGGCCTATTTCGACGTCAAATTACAGGATCGTCAATTCATTCCGGGGATGAAGTGTTAGTGCTCCTGCCTGATAAGAAGAGTAAGTTGCTTGTTTCCTGGAATGGACCTTACAAAGTCCTCGAGAAGTGGAGTAGAGTAAATTACATCATTGACGAACCGAAGGGCCCTAAATTATACCATGATAATTTATTAAATATATATCATCGTAGGGCCCACATTAACTTTGCTCATGTCCTTGATGACGTTCCCAAGCTCGAAGCAGTCGAGGCACTACCCTGCGAGGGTTCGTGTGAAGTTCAGGCACCAGACTCGGATGATCTCAGTTGCCAGCTACCGATAACACCAGATGGTATAGTAGAATCCCCTACGACTGACAATGGGCCAGCACTTAAACCTGGACTGAAGTGGATCCAACGTGCAGACATTGAGGACCTAATTACTAACTTTGAGGATGTATTTTCAGACGTCCCGGAATGCACGTCCACTGTACACCATGACATCCTCCTTGCAACCACTGAGTGTGTGCAGGCCAAAGTTTATCCTGTCCCTATTCATCTCCGGAGTTATTTTAAAGAAGAGGTCGACCGTCTACTTGAGCAGGGAATCATCCAATTGTCATCTCCTCACTGCTCTCTTGTTGTTATGGTGCATAAACGGGCTGGTACTTTTAGGATGGCCATTGACTATAGGGCGTTAAATGCGGTAACTGTCTTTCATGCCAAGCCCGCCTGTTCTATGGAGAAAGACTTGCATAAGTTCTCAGGGGCGAAGTACTTCTCGGAATAAGATGTATGTAAAGTTTATTACCAGGTGCCCTTAACTGAACGCGCTAAACCACTAACTGCTTCTCCTACTCGTAGAGGATTGATGGAATTCTACCGATTTCCCTTCGGGCTGGTGACTGCCTGTGCCACGTACATCAGGCTGATGCGCATCGTCCTTGTTGGTTTGCCTAGAGTTTCTTTTTATTTTGACAACATCTTCATATATTCCTCGGATTGGCAGAAACATCTTGGCGACATTAAAGCTGTCCTAGGGAGGCTACGGGAGCATACTTTGACGATAAAACCATCTAAATGCCGGTTTGGGTTTAAGTCGATTCATTATCTTGGATTCGTGTTAGATGGTTGGCATCTTCGTTCCCAATCAGATAAAATAGAAGCCCTTTGTGAGGTGTGTCCTCCTACTACTAAGAAACTCCTTAGTTTTCTTGGTATAATCTCTTTTTATAAAGCTTTCATTCCCCGGGCATCTGAGTTTACCGGACTCTTATCTGACCTGCTAAGGAAAGGCCACCGGGAGACTCTTGTCTGGAGCGACGACCTGCTGGCCAGATTTAATCATCTCAAGGATTCTCTGTCCACCAAGCCTATTCTTAAGTTACCTGATCACCGCTTGACATTCGTTATTAGGACGGAAGCTTCCAGTCATGGCCTAGGAGCCGTTCTCCTCCATTATGTTCAGGCCTGTCCTCATCCAGCAGCGTATGCCAGCAGGAAGTTATTAGACAGGGAGAAGAGGCACTCGACCATTGAACGTGAGTGCCAAGCTATTTTGTTAGGGGTTTTGAGATTGGATTATTACTTGAGCTGAAAAGAATTTATCCTGGAAGTTGACCACAAGCCCTTGCTGTATTTAAATACCTTCAAAGGGCCAAATGGCAGATTGTTAAGGTGGGCTCTAAGTCTGCAGGGGTAAAGGTTTCGTGTTGTTCACGTCGTCGGGAAAGACAACCTTGGGGCACATTTTTTGAGCAGGTCTACTGTATAGCTAACCATTTGTTGCAGGATTACGTTTTGTTGTACTAATCTTAAGTTTTAATCTACCTTACAGTAGACTTTTGTTGGGGGAGCTGCGTAAGGGCTGTAACAAGAGGGATGATTGTCCGCCGCTCGTTTGCTTCTTCGCGGCCCCATTGGGGATGGGGAGGGGGTGGCCGGTAATAAAGTCACAGGAAAAAAAGTCACAGAAAAAAGTCACAATTTTGGCTAGGAAAAAAAGTCACAGGAAAAAAAGTCACAATGAATTTATGGTGGCCGGTAATAAAGGTTAGGTTAGGTTACCATCAGTTCTGCATATTCCTTTACTGAAACTGATTGACATATTAACCTTAAAAAATGTGAGAATTCGATAGTTAACTTTTCTTTTTTTCCTGTGACTTTTTTTCCTGTGACTTTTTTTGTGACTTTTTTACCTGTGACTTTTACCTGGATTCGAGTAGGAAGACGGGGGTGAGAAGGTCGCTGCTGCCTAGTCGTACACCAGACACTATCCAGCCTTAACCACAGCTGCACTTCCCCCGCGATTCGATTCCAACTCTGGTTCTGTACTCATCTGAGGTTCCTGGGGCTCGTGGGCTGATTCCCCAGTCCTTCACTATTCGGCTGTCAACTCCGGACACCTACTCCAGCTACTACGGCGGCTGCCACGTCATCGCCACTTCCTCCACGCCCTATCCACTGTCCGTGCCCTAGCGTCTCTTCTGTGTGGGAAGACATCGCCCACCAACGCCGGCACCGAGTGAGGAAGCTGCCCTGGACCTTGCCCCTGAGAGCTGACCACCGCGGTACCAGAACATTCCACCGGGCTGGTTAGGAGTATTCATCTGCAGCCGTATGAAATACCTGTAATTTGTTGTATGTATTATTTTGTTTCAAGTCATTGTTTGACTCCTGTGCTGTTTATTTAATATTTGTGTGAGTGGTGTCAGAGTTAAATTATTGTGATTATTTTCGTCGTAAAGTGATGTCATCTCTAAGGGTTGCTTGTTACCCCTTGGAAACCCGTGGTTCTTGATTTTCCTTTTTATAAGATCCTGATTAGGCTGGCAAGGGTTTTATATCCTACGGGCCAGGCCTTTACAGTCAGGTGGGCCGAGTCCTAAGAGGTCCCAAGTAAACTTGTTCTTTAGGACCAAGGTCTGTTAAGATTAGGACCGTTAAGACTGGGGCCCATGTGGCCGTCACCAGCGAGGCAGGGTTTTCTTCACAAACTCACTAAGCCTCACACATGTACGATACAGTAGTATATATTAAGTCGTCTCAGGTTAATGTCATTTAATGGTAAGGTGTGTAGAGTAATTATAAATCTTTCATATATTAGATAATCTATCCTTATACTGTGCCTGCTGAATGAGGTACATTACCTCTAAAGCATTATCATACTGACAAGGAGATACATACCCGAGTGATTCATCGTCATCACATACCCCAGTGATTCATAATCAACCAAGAAAAACCTGATGAGAAAATACACAATTCCTTTCTCACAATTCTTTTTTTTCCACTTGGTGTACATACATTCACCGAGTTTGTTGCATAACCCGTTAATTGTTGGCTGTAGAAGGTTGTGAGACGAGGTACACCTTGAAAGATAGGCGGCGACAACGGAGGAGGACGACGACGAGGAGGAAAAGGACACCCTGCACACATTTTCCTCTCTTAGGTCTGGTGGCTCAAAGATTCGTTAACAGGACTTATGAGGAGGCATTGAACTTGTTCCTTTAGATAAAACAATATAAAAAATAGAGGCCAAAATGGTGTTGAAACGAGTGATTCTCATCCTATCATCCTAAACTGGAAGGAAGAAATTAACACACGATTTACAATTTACGGATAATCCTTCTATCCGGCCTTAAAACGCCATGGATTCACGCCGGATTAGGATAATTTTCTTGTTCTTACTGCTATAATTCAATGGTAAAATAAACTTAACTTCACTTTAGACGTCCTTCATTTACCTTACCTAAAGTTTACCTAGGCGGGTTAGTACTGGTGATATAAGTTTATCTAAGGGTTTGGTCTATACTGTACATATACCTGGGTGGGCTAATCCCCGTAAAAAAAATAAAAAAAATAAATACACAACGGTTCAAATTCTCGAGATTTTTTTTTGAAATTATCACTGTCAGGCTACACCCACTATGTGTCAGGCTACACCCACTATGTGTCAGGCTACACCCATTATATGGCAGGCTACACCTACTGAGTGTCAAGCTATACCCACTATATGTCAGGCTACACTCCCTTTATGTCAGGCTACACCCACTGTGTCAGGCTACACCCACTATGTGTCAGGCTACACCCACTATGTGTCAGGCTACACCTACTATGTGTCATGTTACATCCACTATGTGTAAGGCTACACCCAATATGTATCAGGCTACACCCACTATGTGTCAGGCTACACCCATTATATGGCAGGCTACACCTACTGAGTGTCAAGCTATACCCACTATATGTCAGGCTACACTCCCTTTATGTCAGGCTACACCCACTATGTGTCAGGCTACACCTACTATGTGTCATGTTACATCCACTATGTGTAAGGCTACACCCAATATGTATCAGGCTACACCCACTATGTGTCAGGCTACACCCACAATGTGTCAGGCTACACCCACTTTGTATCAGGCTACACCCAATATGTGTCACGCTACACCTACTATGCGCCAGGTTAGACCCACTGTGTCAGGTTACACCTAATATGTCAGGCTAAACCTACTATTGTGTCATGTTAGATCAACGGCGTCAGGCTACACTCACTGTATATCAGACTAGACCCAATTTGTGTCAGGCTACACCAAATATGTGTTAGAGTAGACCTGCAAATAATACATTAAGAATCCATTGAGTTCATAGGGGAACTGTCTTCACTTTTTTTTTTTAATTTAACGTCAACTTGACCTACGCTGGGTGAAAGTGGTAGAATGTGATCATGTGCTGACCTCATCTTACGCAGCAGTTCTTAGGATGAGTTACAGATCATTAGTCCAGGTGAAATAAGGCTACCTCAGTTACCACGAGTGCGGCTTTAGCGTTGTATTTATCAAAATAGACTGTCACTGTTAAACAGCAAAAACAAAAAATGTATTAGTCTGGAGAGAGAGAGAGAGAGAATCGCTTCAGGTGAAGTATCCAGTCACTAAAACTTCTCGCAAATCTATCTGGGGCCATAACTGTGGCGGCCACAAGTACAGAGGACGACATAAAGCTGTTTACCTCATTTCAGATTGATTTACAAAGTTGTTCTAAGTTATCGCGAGGAAAAGAAATTTTGTACGGACAGATAACTAGGAGTGACTCCTGGTGTTCTCAATGTTGTTATAATGTCGGGCGCGTTAAAAAACTTAACCCACAGACAACAAAAGCAGACAAGTCACTAAAAAATCGTGACGTAATGCTTTATTGACCAATGTTATTACCTCAATTATATCGTAACTCTTATAAGCAACACGAATACCGAGTCACTAATGCACTGAAAGCCGGTTGTGACGAAGGTGAGGTAGAAAGAAGGGAGATGCTGAGTCTGTTGAGGACTCGGGGCTAATTGTCTGTGCTTTGGTGGTAGTGGTGGTGGTAGTAGTGTAGGTGATGATGATGATGATTATAATGGTAGTGATGATGATTATAATGGTAGTGATGATGATGGTGGTAGCGTAGGTGATGGTGATTGTATAGGTGGTGGTGGTGATAGTGTAAGTAGTGGTAGTGATGATATAGGTGGTATTGGTGTAGGTGGTAGTGGTGGTGGTATTGGTGGTTGTGGTATTAGTGATGGTGTAGATAGTAGTATTGGTGGTGGTGGTATTGGTGGTGGTGGTACTGGTGGTATTGGTAGTGGTGGTATTAGTGATGGTGGTGGTAGATATAATGGTGGTGGTTGTGTTGATAGTATTGGTGGTGGTGGTGTTAGTGATGGTGTAGGTAGTAGTAATGGTGGTGGTGGTATTGGTGGTGGTGGTACTGGTGGTATTGGTGGTGGTGGTATTGGTGGTGGTGTAGGTAGTACTCTAGGTGTTGATGGAGATGGTGATGGTGGTGTAGGTGGTGGTGATGGTGTAGGTGACGGTGGTGGTGTAGGTGGAATAGGTGGTGGTAATGGTGGCTGTGATAGTGTAGGTTGTGGTAGCAGTGTTGATGGCTAGAGCGGGTCAACTCCGGCTAACTAGCTAGTAGCTACCCTGGCCGGCCTGCGGGGGGAACCTCTACCTTGTCCTGCCCTCCCTTATTGGCCAACCGTCCATCACAACCATATAAAGTGACAGAAAGTGACGCTGTTTTGGTCACTACGACAGCATGGAGATCGATGAGACTGTGAGAGAGAGAGAGAGAGAGAGAGACTGCAGCATTAATACCGGGAGTGGGCCTCTCCTCTCTCTCCTTCTCTTACTCTTCCTCTTCAATGCTTGCTCTCACCCACTACAACCACCACCAACACACAACAAAAACAAGAATGTACGCTAGGAAACAGTATACTAGAGGGTGGCGGGGTTGGATGTTCGTTAGCTCGGCTGGTGGCTGAGGGAGGAGGGCAGGTCGACCACACTGCCACTTGGCTAGTGTGCCTGTCTGCTTCTTGTGGCAGTATCTATGAGTGTGCATAGTGCGTGCGTGATTGTATTTGTATAAATGTTTTTATCAATGCTCTTATGTGTTCGCCCGAGCATGTCTGTGTTAGTATAAATCCTTATGCACTAAAACATTTCATCCAACAAAATGAACCCCAAACTGCATAGCGACACATGAGTAAATTACAGTTTAAATTCCAGACACTTCGTAAAACTGTTGCTACCACACCCTGACCGACAGAAACAAACTTTGCCGCTTTATTTCGTTAATTCACCTGACAACAGAACGTCACAAAAACCCGCCAACGGATATAATGTCGTAAGCTGGGGTTAAGGTTGAAGTTTTTCCAATAATGCGTAAATATTTTTTTCAAACTAGCATCATGTTAATCGAGTTCGTGTCAAAAAAGAATACATTGATAAAATATATATATATATATATATATATATATATATATATATATATATATATATATATATATATATATATATATATATATATATATATATATATATATATATATATAAAACTACAGCCACATAGGAAAACACGAATTTGAAAATGCATTATGCGTTGACACATGCCCAGTAGGAAGCTAAGATCGTGATGTTCATATAACATCATTGGAGTAATGTCCCATCGAAATTCTACTCAAAAGTTAGGTAATTGTTATTCTACCATACCAGAACTAATAATAATTAAATCTAACCTTACAGAACTAAACCTATTCAAATCTACCCTAATTTAACCAAGGTTAACGTAACGTAATCTGTATTAACCATACCAAACTTGACCTAATCTAACCTAACATAATCTTACCGAAACTAATCTAAGTTAGCCAGCAAAACTAAAATCATTTCTATTAAAACCTGTTACACAAATGTACCTGACCGTATTTAAACCAAATAATGAAATTCACTTAGCGAATGCTTTGGGTACTTTATCCTAATAGGTAAGTAGGTAGTAGGCAGCTACCAAACAGGGAGGCACTACCGACTGGGAAGATATTGGAAGCATAATGTGTTGTCTAGTGGTAGACCCTGCTGCCATATGGCATCACGAAAATTGTGGCCAAGTCCCAGGTTGCTGATCTGACTTTCTGCCTCATTTACACACAATTGCAGGGTCTCAATTGTTTCTCTTACTTGGACAACACAACATATATAATGTATATAATTTCTCACTTTTGATTTATTCTTTTTAAATTTGTATTTATTTATGGTTATTATTTTGATTCTTTTGATTATTTTATTTGTATTAATTTGCTATTAATTTTATTAATTATTGTTGTAATAATAATAATAATAATAATATATTATTATTATTTTTATTATTATTATTATTATTATTATTACCCCCAAGGCCCCGATGTGGGTCAGCGACCTGTGCCCGGGTGGGCTAATCCCTGTAAAAAAAAAAAAGTTAGGTAGTTCAACTGTTGGCCGCGGGCAGCCAATGTGACGTCACGCCGTCTAGTTCTGATTGGCTGGTTCAGGAAAGGGAAAACCAGCCGGCATTTTCACCACCCTGGGGCCGGTCGCTATCTACAACTACCCCGTGCCAGACTGATCTTTTATAATCGCGAAAGTGGAAAAGTTCCTTAAAATTAGTTGTGGAAGGGACTAACCAAACTCAATACACGTCTGTCAACTAACCCAGAAATATGGATGTATATAGTCTGTTCATTAGAACCTTACAACTGAGGCCTAGGGTCAGTTTGTGTAGCAAAGCAGCTGAGGAAACTGCAGCTGGCCTATTAGCCCATTTATACTCGTAGGCAGCCCGTTTACACCTAATCCCTATCGCTTATATATCCGTCCATCCTACATTTAATTGAAGCTATCCAGCGTGTTCGAGTAAATGAGGATGTTCCGTAACTTGCAACACTCATCCACTTATCAACCAGTTTTTCTATCTCGCACCTAAATCTAAATTGGTCTAATTTAAAACCACTGCTACGAGTTCGCTCCTGGTTGGATAGTTGAAGGACCTTTATTCTATTACTTTTGTTTAACTCTGATTTCCATTTATACACCTCGATCATATTGTCGCCCCTCACTCTACGTCTCTCGAAGGAGTGCAAATTCAAATGCTTTAAATGGTCTCTATACTCACGGTTCCTAATGCGCGGGATTAGCCAAGTCATCCTTCTCCGAATGCTTCCCAATGGATTCGATATCCAGAACTGAACTGGATAATCCAAGTGAGGTCTCACAAGCGCAAGATTTAGTTTTAAGATAACTGCGCTAGTCTTGTAACTAACGTTCCTTTGTATAACCCAGGTACTTTGTTAAACTTGTTTCGAGCAGATACGATTTGTTGCCTTGGTTAAAGATCCCTACTTATCATTTCTCCTAAATCTTTCTCACAGTCGGATTTCTCTATAACATCGTTATTCATCTGTTATCTGGTTTCTCGATTCATATAATCTAGGCTAAGTAGTTTATACTTCCACATTATATTCCATCTGCCATTTTTCAGACCATGCGAATTTTTTTTTTAGATCTTCCTGTAGTTTTGGGGAGTCCTCGTCAGATTTAATTACACAACCAATTTTAGTGTCGTCAGCAAATTTACTTATGTTGCTGTGTACGCCTATATCTACGACATTTATGTATATAATAAAAAGTACCCCACTAGTGACGTTACCCTAATCGGATTTAGTGCCGTTAATGCTGACTCAGTTTCCTGTCCTGTAACTACGCCCTAATCCAGTTTAGCATATCTCCTCCAATTCCAAGAGCCTCCACTTTATGTATTGGTCTTTCGTAAGGAACCCTGTCGAAGGCTTTGAGAAAGTCGAGGTAAACCACATCATAATCGTGTCCGTCATCCAAGAGTTGAAAACAGGTGAAAAGAATAATAGATTTGTTAGACATGAACGTCCACTTGTGAATCCATGCTGGGAATCATTGGTCAACTTGTCTTTCTTGAGGTGATTTCGAATTGAGTTTGAAATTATTGCTTCCAGAAAATCGCCTACAATTACTGTTAAACTGATTGGATGGCAGTTAGAGGGTAGTGATCTATCTCCAATCTTGAAAACAGATTTTGGTACTAAACCCGTTTTTAATAAAATGTTACACAATTTTTCTAAGGGCAAACTAAGTTCTTCTTACATTCCTTTAATACTC